GTCATAGAAAGACAAAGTGTCTTCAGTCGGAGTCTTCTTCAACTTCGCTGTAATACAGACCACTACAGAAGATCTTTCCTGCCCACAGCCATCAGCATCTACAATAAGTTTTTAGTTAAATGAGTTACAACAACACCTAATTTCCCTCTGGGATCAATAAAGTATTTTTGAATTTGAATTTAAATTTGAATGGAGATAGAGTAAGGACGGATAATGCAGAGGACAAATGGAGAAGGATGACTTCTAAAGAGGGAACAGCTGAAAGACAAAAGAGTTGGTGTTTGGTCACTTCATATGCGTTTTATGTCTTAAATTGGTTGGCGTTCAAGACTGGCCACATTGCTTCATGTTCTCTGAGATTAATATATGTAACAATGCTATTTTTCATCATCGTAAGCAAATTCTAAATTCTAAATTATAAAAGCTATTATGTACCTTTTGTTGATTGTACGTTTCTGCAGTTTAGGGGTGTCACATTTTGCATTATTATTCTTTGCAGTTTTATTAATTTTTTTATTAATTCCTGAAATTTATATAGTTTTGGGGAAGACTCACTAACTTTGGGCCCCTAGGCTGGTGTTTGTGTAGTTTCCTTTTTTTAGTTCAATGTCACTCACAAAGTCAGTAAATGTTTAACCGTAACTGATAACGCATTATAAACAAATTATTCCACGAAAAGCGTAAAAGGCTTACTGATAAATATTTTTGTAAAGAAGATCGTTATCAACAAATGTTACAACTCAGCTCCTCAAATCGCTGACTCTTGTTTTGTTTTTTGTAATTCAGACGAAGTTCACATGACGTGTGAACGAATTCGGACAGCCAGTGAACGCAGCATCAGTCTGCACTGTATACGCGCCGAGGCGGAGAGCGAAGATGGCGGAGGGCGTCGAAGCAGAGCACGAATGGAGCGATTGGGCCCTGGACACGGCCGAAAACAGCATTATGGCGGTGGAGACCCTGCTGGCTACACTGAGAGCCTTCGAAGACGTGCTCAGACAGCAAGAAATATCCATAACGTCTTCCACGGAGTATTGTGACAACTTCTGCCAGGTAGCGTTATCATGCAATAAGGAAGCTAGCTTTCTGTTAGCTTATTCGGACTCTGTTTTTTTTTTTTTTTCCTCGCAGCCTGAAAAAATAAATATGACCTGCGACGGCTGCTGCTGCACCGCTGGATAGGCGGCTTTACTTTTGAATTAGGAAGCAATTGCACAAAATATATTTTAAATCAAATCAACTGATGCATTTTACGAAATAACTCCTGTCATTTGAAAGACGAGCTATTTATTGTACGTGTACTAGCTGATGACGTTACGATGTTTTTTTAGRATTAATTTTTGGCTTCGATTTCTTTTAATTTGATGATAACTAGATAACAACATACACGATGCCTGCACAAAAAGACATTGCTACGGTTTGCACATCATGCACTCCTGCTTACATGGTGGGGCGGGGCAGATTGGCTCTCTATGCTTAGACAAATTAATGCTATTTTGAATATTGGTTTACCTAAAAATGTGCGTTAAATTGCACCAATTTTTACATAATCTATTGTGGGTGTCGAGGCCAATGCAGGGATGTGGTGGGTATTGTGTTAATATTTGCCATTAATAGAGATTATTTAAATAACCCTGATTATGTAGCTTTTACATTTCAAAACAATGACAAGCAAATTTGCTAAAGTAGCATCTAACACTAAAAACGTAAGTACATGGTTGAAAGGAAAAGTGAAAACTTGTTACGCAAGAGTTTCACTGTGTTAAAAAAATGCATTTAATGACCAAATAAAACAAATAATTGCCTTATACTTTTATTGTTTACTTGTTTTATTGCCATCTTATTCTCTCAAACAATGCTTTTAAACATTTAGTATTGTCTCTTAAGCTCAAAACAGTTCCATCACTTTTCCTTCTAATCTAAAAAGCCCATGCATTTAATCAAAATTAGAGAAAAAGTCACTTAAAGCATAAAAAGTGGAACTGCGTATTATGATAGTAATAGGCAACACAATGCTAAATTGTGACCTTTTTTGCACCTTTTTTTTCTCTGAATAATCTTTATTTGTGGGTCAAGTCTTTGAGCTCCAGCTGAGCCATAGTTTTAGTGAGGATGCGTGGAGGGCGTTGCTTCACAGTCAGCATGATGAGGAAAATATTTTTAGGTGCGCATAAGCGTGCGAGCCAGAAAGATTAGCAACTTCTGTGGTTTTTATGTTTGTGGTATCGCAAATAATTATGTGATTGTGACACGAGCGGCTCCGGTCAGAAGTACTGGAGTAGTAATTAGTGCACTGATGTAGATCTCTGGGGGTCAAGACTTTATTCTCGGCCCCCTTTGAGAGAACACTATATATTTAGGCAGAGGGGAATTAATTCAGCGCCTTTGTGGACACGAGCACCAATCAACAAAGGTGTGCTCCTGTCTGGAAAATGAGACTCCTGGGATGTTCCCGGAGCTGCAGTGTGTCTGTGATGATTTAATGTGTGGCTGCCACCTGCACAGAGGTGAAGAACAGGTTTACATGTTGCTCCCTTTTTTTGGAGGGCAGCTGACCATATTTACTGTTGACTGGTAGGAGTAACAAACTAATAAAGGAACATTTTAGGTTGAGTATTTATTGTTTTTAAATATTCTAGAACCATCATTTTTGAATTAGGCCTACATTTATTGTAAGACAAATGTAAACAATCATTCTTGTAGTTGTACTTTTGCTGTCTTTTTGTATTCAGATAGAGTTGGGCTTGATTGCACACATTTAGCTTGGTTATATGCTGCACAGTCAAGTCCCCTCAGACCCAATCAGGAGCACAGTAGACACCTCAGACACCTCACTCCAGACTGTCAGCTGGGGACYAACAGGTGTCGACTGGTGTGTCCCTAGAGAGGAAAACCTTTGTTCKTCCAGACACACAACTTTTCTGTCTGTTCTTCTCTTTTGATCACATTTACYRGTTTGTTTTTAATAACTTCTTTTGTCTTCTTTTGTGTATGTGTAGGCACTGATGCACTATGCTGGGAGCAGGAACTCCATGGAGCATGGCCTCCCWCTTCTAGAGGTCTACTGCCTCTCCATAAACTGCTTCGCAGCAGCAAGATCCCATCTGACTGCAGAGTCCGACAGAGTGGCCCTTGTTTTGAAGAGACTCGCTTTGTGAGTGTTGAGAAACTACTGTGCACAAAACCCATAAAAGGCTGACAAAGCAGTTACATTTTCTTTGGTCCATTCACTTGTCTCAGCTATGTGTGCACTTTTACTACACAATAAGCTGCTTTAATTATATTTGCTTGTTAAAAATGTAGTCTACAATAAGTTGCTTTGGCTTTTTCTCAAGCTGAAGGGCTGGCTTTTTTTTTTTTGGAAGGATAGGTTCCTTCAAATCAAGTCTTTCTGAGACCAGCCAAGAACACATTTAGGAAGTGAGTGAACAGATTCCAACTCCAGTTCCCTACATGAACGTGGGAGTATTTCAAAGCTATCAGAGTTACACACAGGCATGTTTAGAGTTTCAACATGATCTAACATTCCTGCAGCCTGATGAAATGACCAAACACCTAACAGGCAGAAGAACAGGCACACTGCTTTTCTACTAAATTAATATAACAAGTTTTAGTGTTGTGCCAAAATGTTTACAAATCTTTGGCTCAACATATCAGTATTTGTTAAAAACTTTAGTTTGAACATGTAGTTCTTTGCGCTTGATGAATTAAATGGTTTTTGGGTGTTGAAACTTAGTAATGTTTGCTAAAAGCTAACCATTTGTTTTTAGTCCTCTTGGCTACTGCAGTATGGCAACAACCTGTGGAGATCTGTGTGAAACTTTAGTCGTGAAGTTAAAAACACGATCTACACCCTAAATATTACAAACTGGAAGTTAAACAAAAGAAAACTCAAAACATGAGCATTTTTAAGTCCACCACAGTAAACAGAAGGACTGCTTTAGGAGAAAATTATGGTAACAATAAAGTTATTGAACGGTTCAGGTTGTTACTTGTGATTAGATGTGATTTTTGACAATCTGTCAACCTGTTCGGAGTAAATTAACAAATGTACTAAAGAATTGTACTATTTTATTTGAATTGCTCAATCCTTGTAGCACAGCTTTCAGTTCATTAGCAAAGTTTTGTTTGATTAAGAGAATAGATCTAATTTGTTATCTGTTCAAGTTTTTAAGTTTGTTTTTGCAAAAACAATTTACCCCGAATCAAAGCATTTACCACAAGTCTTAATGTTTTTCTGTAAAATAAGCATGGAGCTGCAGAGACCTGTTTTTTGATGGGATTTGACGAGTTAAAGTGATGTTTTGGTTGCTTCTTTCTTGCAGAAGCTGCTTTGAACTGTTGCTGTCCGTGCCTGAGAATGAAATCCCATTGGAAGCCTGGCTCCAGTTCCACCACTCTGTTCAGGTAGGAGCGTCGTAACCTGATGGATTACAAGTGTAAATCCTGTGGCTTGTGTTTTTTCTTTTTATTTCGTAGCTCAAATGAAGTTGGCACCTGGTGCTTTTGTGCAATTCTCCCTCAGTTTCCGGCATGCTGAGTTAATAGTTAAAGGTTGGAACACACTAAGTGCACCTACGAACACGGAGCTGTGTTACAAACTGCATTTCCATTTTTACAGTTATATTAAAAGAAAAAATGAAAAAAAAAAAGTTTTAATGTTTATCTTTTAGTTAAACACTTCTTTAAAACACTCCAGTGGCACATTTCTCTGATTTAAAACTTGGGTTTTTATTTTTTGTTTGTTTTTTGCGTTTTTATGTCAAACCCCTGAAATGTTGTGATTGTGCAGCAAGAGATAACATCCTTGGTGGATGATGTCCCCAGTGCCAAGGCCAGCTGGGGTAGATAACTGCAGGATGAAGAACAAGGTTACGATCATGTTTTTTTTCAGTGAAAATGGAAGCAGAAGACTCAAAAGAACAAAGAAGTGCTTGAACACATCTTAGTTCTGATGGATATTCTACCATCCCGTTACAAACCTGAACCAGTCGTTTTATCTCACAAATCCCTGGAAGAATTTGTCAGATCTTGATTCAGATCATTGTGGAGATCACCGTGACCAACATGATGACAAGCCCCTCARTCTCTGTGGCGACAACCTCTTCTGTGTTGTCCTGATGCATCTCAGTAATCCAGGTAGAAAAAATAAGTAGGTCCTCTAGATGGGTTCTTCTTTAGTGAAACGTTTCTTCTCTCGTCCAAGAGACTTCTTCAGTCTGATGAGTTTCAGGTGAACTCAGCCTTAAAAGCACTGCCTCCACATGGACAAACAGGTCAGTCACATGCAAAAGAGGGCCATCGCTTAACTATAGGCTTGAATAGCTCTCACCTCTAGAGGTGGAGGCCTGCAAGTATGACTCAGCCCCTGTGAGCAAAAGGTGTGAATCAGGGCCCCAACGATACCAACACAGAGGGAAAAAAACAAAAACAAGGGGACTTTGWGCCCCGCCTGCATTCACTACATGCACATGACACGACACCTAATGGTACATTCACACCAAACGCATTTTGAGCATCAGAAGCATCTGGTTTACATGCAAAGTCAATGTGMATTGCGCATCTAGGGGCGTCTAGAAGCCGAGCAGCGCGTCTGGCGCATTTAGAGCAGCGCGTCTCGAAGCAGTGCASGCGCGGCACGCCCCAAGCGTCCACCGCGTGAGTTGGAAAATCTGAACTTTTGCTGCTCGATGCGTCACATCAACCAATCCGAGAGACTAATTTTTCCACGTGACAGTTTCCTGAATGTTGCCCACCAAACGAAACAGAAGAACAGCAGATRTTTACCTAAAATCAACCATCTGCAGTTGGATTTTCTGGCTAGATATGTGTTGATGTGGGTCAGCTGGTCCGGACAAAAAAATAAAAAAGGTCCGTCAGCTAGCAGCTTCTGGAGCGGCGAAACTAACCGAACAAATCGCCTCTAAATCATCTGGTGAGTTAATTATCTGCTGTGCGCAACGTTTGCTTGCTCTTTAGTAATTAAATCAAAGCCAATTTCTTTTATTTTATCTTTATTTCACCCGCCGAGGGCAGACGCTTCTCCCACACCCCGCTGCCGCTGCTGCCGCTGCTGCTGCTTCTCGTTCTGGTCTGTGAATGTCTGTCCAGCATCAAGATGCGTGCGTTTTGAGATTTTTGGAGGCGCGCAACGCGTTTCGTGTGAACGTAGCATAAGAACCACAGCATCCAAACCAATAAGCCAGGTGATGGGGCACACCCTCTATGAACAATAGAGCTAATTAAGCCTATTGTTAAGCAATGGCCCTCTTTTGCATGTGACTGACCTGTTTGTCCACCATGTGGAGGCAGTGCTTTTAAGGCTGAGCTCACCTGAAACTCCTCAGACTGAAGAAGTCTCTTGGACGAGAAACGAAARGTTTCACTAAAGAAGAACCCGTCCAGAGGACCTACTTATTTTATTCTTTTTGAACTCTTCTGTGTTCTTTAAGAAATTGTCCAGACAGCTCCTGGCGAAACCTCTGTTTCGGCGTGAAACCACTTGACTGCAGTATGAGGTGCTCTTTAAAATGTTTGCAGRGCAGTCAGTCACCCAACATCGGGTCAGGATTTTCACGCCTGAGCTAAAATAAACAAATCAGTCTAGGGCTGCCACAAACGATTATTTTTATAGTCAATTAACCACCGATTATTTTTTCGATTAGTCGGATCATACGTTAATTGAATATAAAACATACAGCTTATCGCGCCAGAATGCAGCTGCTATTATATAACCGATTTTAGCTTTATGCTAACTAAAAATAATTGCTGTGGAAGGCAAGTTCTGCCGATATTGCATTGCACAGGTTTCTCTTTTATTTTCTTAAAATGATCCTACAGTTTTGAGCTCCATTGCCAGGTAGCCATGATACCAGAGCCTGTCTGTATAATGTCTTGTGACGTCTACAGCCTACCCCAGTTTCCACTACTGTGCATGTGTGTCAAGGACAAAGGCAGATGTGGCAGTGGAAGGTGTCAAAGCAGTTTGGAGAGAAAAACATAAAGAAAAAAAAAGACTAATCGATTATTAAATTAGTCATCGGCAATTTAATAATTGATTAATCGTCGACTAATCGTGGCAGCCCTAAGCCAGTCCAACTTTCTTTTCTTATGGGAAGGTGAAGGAAACAAGTGTTGTCTTGCACTTTTCATTTGACCTTTTAAGCCTATAGTTTGTTGGGGTAATTAGTCAAAACCTTTCATTTCTGCTGGGAAACTGCATCTCCTGGTAACATTTTCAAACCACTTTAGACAATGGTATTATGATTTTATCAGTTGTCGACTCTAAATTGTGTAACTCTGCCTGAAACCTGTTCCATCGTACAGTGGGTACACACCAGCAATGGAGTATTTGGACTGTAGCGCAGCAAATAAATCCAAGCTTTGCCAAATAATCTACTTAAATAGTTTTGGGAACTTTAAACATAACTAATGTTCTGTCTTTGCTGTTAACATTTTCCAGGATAAAGGAGTGACTGAGCAGTGTTCACTTTTATTCTTTTTTACTTAGATTGTATTCTGAAATGATAATATTTAATGTCCTGATGCATCTCAGTAATCCAGGTAAAAAATCAAAAAGAAAAAAAATTGTATAGGTCTTCTGGATGGGTTCTTCTCTAATGAAACAGAGACACATCCCATGGCACACCCATGAAACATGGGTGTGCCATGGGATCCCCAGTTTCTCCTATTGTTGCAAACCTGTACATGGAGGAAGTGGAAAAGAGAGCCTTGATGTCCTTTTCAGGGGTGCCACCGAGCCATTGGTTCAGTTATGTTGACGACACCTGGGTTAAAATTAAAGCCCAGGAAGTCCAACATTTCACTGATCACATCAACTCTGTGGATGAATATATTAAGTTCACACGAGAGGATGTAAAAAATGGCAGGCTGGCGTTCCTGGYTTGCGATGTCTCGGTTTCGGATGGAGGACGGTTGGAAACTGGCGTGTATCGTAAGCCCACCCACACAGACCAATATTTGCGTTTTGACTCCCACCACCCACTGGAACACAAGTTAGGAGTGATCAGGACTCTGTACCACAGAGCAGACAGTGTCCCTACAAACCCAGGAGCCAGGCAGAAAGAGAAATCACACACACAACAGGCCCTGGAGCAGTGTGGTTATCCTGACTGGGCTTTCCTGAAAGCAGACAGGAAACACAGACAGGATTCCATGCAACCTTCAGGTGAAAATGAAGACCCAAAACCCAGACCCAAACCAGTGGTTATTCCATATGTTGCGGGTGTTTCGGAGAAACTGAGACGTTTATTTACTAAACATGATGTCCCAGTGGCTTTCAAACCCCAAAACACATTACGGCAAAGGCTGGTTCACCCCAAAGATCCGGTGCCCCGGCACAAACTGAGCAATGTTGTATATGCTGTTAAGTGCCAGGAGGACTGCGACCAGTTATACATCGGGGAAACAAAGCAGCCACTGTTCAAAAGAATGTCCCAACACAGACGAGCTACATCTAATGGCCAGAACTCTGCAGTTTTCACTCATTTACAGGCCAGCGYTCACTCTTTCAGAGATGAGGATGTTCTCATTCTTGATAGAGAGGAACGTTGGTTTGAGAGAGGAGTAAAAGAAGCCATTTTTGTGAAGAAAGACCYTCCATCATTAAACAGAGGTGGAGGCCTCCGTTTTCAGTTGTCCCCCTCCTACAGCGCGGCTATTGCCAGTATCACTCCACCCCCTGTTAACAATAGGTGTTAATTAGGTGTCAACGATAGCCATGTGATGTGAGTATCAGTCACATGGAGGCAGGGCTTAAAAGCCTGAATTTTGCCTGAAACTCTCAGACTGAAGAAGTCTCTTGGAGGAGAGACGAAACGTTTCATTAGAGAAGAACCCGTCCAGAAGACCTATACAATTTTTTTCTTTTTGATAATATTTAATGTTATTTCATCAGGGAAATGTTATTAGTTTGCAATTTAAAGAAAAGTGCTTACGAGATCAGCAGCTTGTTCTGGACTCTTGTTTTTTTTTCTTTTTCAGATGTCATGTTTGTTTGAAAGAGATGAATTATTAAAGTGTAAAACGAGCTAATGGCCCTTTCATTACTAGTAGTTGTAGTACACTGGTAACAGGGCTTTATTTTATGTTAAGTATAGTTTTCCTCAGGAAGTCATTCAAACGTGTGTTCATTGTTCCTCAATGTGTTCACTGCAGATTACACATGATACGCTGTTACAATATGGAAGCACCGACCTGCAAGCTCTGCTCCAAATCACAGGAGAAGGTGGGGCATGGAGCAACCCGGTCCTAACTGCACTCCTCACCGGCCAGCCCACCAGCCCAGAGGAAGGTTCGGATTTAGTTCTTTGATCTTTCTTTCCTCCACGATSTAACATCTCAAGTGTAGTTTTCCACTCAGTTGTTGTTTGATTCTGTTTATAGTTAATGCGTACATAAACTTGGAGGGTGAGGGCTTCATGGAGATGCGGGTGAAACATCTGGAGAAAATGGGCGAAGTGGCCAAAGCTGTGGTTTTGGCCAAAGCTTGCACTGAATGCAGCTTCATTCCCAACCAAGCTACGTTTCGTCAGACGTATGTCTCCCTGCTTTGCCACCTGCTGCCCAATGAAGAAGCCATTATGGAGGTATGAAGGTTCAATGTTTGGTTGTAGACTATATGGTAATGAGCAAATAAGTGAAAATGTAACTGTAATTAGTCCCTGTTTTTGTCAGTTTTCTTTCCAGAAATGGATCCCCTGTGTCTCATTTATAAATAAAGCTCTTTCTATCATTCTGGAAAAAACAATCTCCTTGTTCACATAGTTTTTTTTAAAAATTCATACCAAACTTGAAGTGCTTATAGTGAAAAAAACAATTTAAATGTAATCGTCCTAAAACACCAGTGTTTTTACCATTYATTGTTTATATCAGGACCTCCAATTTAAGAACATTTTGTCTTTTGGTAAAAAATGCTGTTTCATACTCAGCTTATTATGCAGTTTTAAAAGTGTGTGTGACATATAAAATTTATGATATAGAAGTGCCTGGTTTTATATTATACCGCTTTAATCAAAGAACAGATCTGCCGCTTAGTGTTCATTTTTTTCCACATCTTAGTTGCAAAATATCTGTTTTTCTCCTGTGGTGTTTTCAGTGCAGTGAACTTTTACATTTTATCCTGTCAGATATCCAGACTGGACTGTAAGGATGTCCTGGAGATCACTTGTAATTTGGAGATGGAGGGTGAGGAGAATACAGCCTTCATCCTGTGCACGACTTATCTAACACAGCAGCTGCAGCAGCAGAGTCTTTACAGCTCCTGGTGAGTGACGTCTTATTTATCAGCTTGGTGTTTTTCCATAAGTTGCTGTATAGCTTAGTAGTTTTTGCTGTTAGCAAGTGACTTTACTGGTGTTTTTGGTTACAAGCAAGATAAACGGGTCATGTGAAACACTCTAAGGTCAAATGCAGTGTTTTGACTATGATGTTAAAGCTCTGCACACCAGTACAACTCAAAACACTTTGTGTGCACAACTATTGAAAATATGAACATGAACCTACCTTGAGTATGGATTTACAGAGCATTGTTGATGTTTTGTTTTGTTTTAGTGACTCAGGCTGAGTTTTGAATGGCTAACTCATTACGATAGCTTCCAAAAGACGTGGAAATCCTTTAGTGCAGGAAAATCTTTGCAAACTCATTTAGGACAAAATGCCTTTTATACTCTTCTATACTTTACATCAGATAAGTGGCTGCTAAATCAGTATAATGTTATACTGATGGGTGTTTTTCCTAATCATATACAAAAACAGGGGAGCAAATGAGACAATCAAACCAGGTTTAGAATCAAAGTGAGGAGAACGTTGGACAGGAAGTCTCTTGTACACCCAAATCCACCGTTCTGAGAGACCCCCTGTAGTTCAACCTCTTTTATTTAGTTTTTCACGCCCCTAGTTACATTGGGTCATGAGACTGCCTAAGGGAGGGGGGAATATGCAGACCTCATGACAGAACATTATTTGATACAAGACAATTAATAAATCATGCAAGCTAGACACTTTCGCTTCTGCTGCCCCCGGAGCAGATGGATGCTTCAGAGGACAAGCATCAGTTCAGAGTTCAACTTCCTCTCCGATTACTGCAACTCAGCAAATCTGCTCACAGATGGAAATATGTGACATTATCAAAKCACCAAAATTAAGCAATGATTAAACTCTTAAAATAAGGAAGTTGACCCAAGCTCTCACTGCCAAGTATTTTGAATGATGAAAATAACCACCACCTCAACTTTGTTCTAACATATACACACATGCACACAGGGAAAGTTGTGTGTCTGTATCACTGCAGCTTCAATCAGCTGACTCAATCCACTTTAAGAGATTATTTAAAGGAAAATAAAACACTGGTGTCTCCCTTCTTCCGCCTACCAGCAGTGCCTCCAAATAAGACCAATTTGCAGCAGCTAATGCTTATTTCATCCTTTACTCATGCAGAGATGATTAGAATGAAGTTTCAGCACAAAAATGAACTATTTAAAAGCAGAGAAATCTGTTTTTACGAATGCTAATTCRAGCTGCTGCTTTGGGATTTAAGACCTTTGCTTGTTTTATGATTTTTGCTTGATAAATATTCTCACGGTTGGGTTTTGAAGTGAGTTAAAGTTTATTCACTCCATGTCCTGCAGCTGAAAACCCCTCGAATGAAACAGAAGATTTGTGTTCAGAGATCTGTGTTGCTCCTCACTTGGTCAGCCAGGCATCGTTATACTTTTTCATTTTCACCAAGATGTCTAAATTTAAGCTTTTTTTATGCTGTTCACTATATTATTATTGTGTTAGGCATATTAACATGTAAATATGTTTGTCTTCTATTATTTAAAGGGAATTGATATTGTTGTGGAGTAGGCTTCAAAAGAAACTGGACCCGTCATTGGTGTCTCTTCTGGAGCGATGCCTTCAGCTTGGTGCCATTGCCAAAACTGTCKAACATTTACTTTACCTGGTCCGTGTGATTCAGACAGAGGTGAGTCTAAATGACATGATTGTCAACTTATTTAACGTAAACATCACATCRCTGTGTACTGAGAGTGCGCCTGCCCTTATTTGCACCCCACATTTCAGAAAGAAAAGAAAATTATCATTAGGTTAGCAATACAGCCAACAGATTCATAGTTGTGCTTAAGAGGAGACAGAAATGGGTAATATAAATATTTTGGTACTGCTCAGTGATGAAATATTTTTCTCTTTTTAGGCAGAGACCCAGGGGGTACCTACCTCAGTCGAACTTTGTGTCAAAGCTCTACAACTTCCAAAGCAAGAAGACTCAGAAACGAGAACGTCCGTATGCAAAACYGTGTCCTGCCTTCTTCCAAATGATCTCGAAGTGCTGCGTGCCTGTCAGCTCACAGAATTCCTCTTAGGCCCCAGCCAGGAAGCCTTCACCTGTCTCGAGGAGCTCTACCTGCGCCCAGACCAAAAGTATGACCAGGAAAACGAGGTCATTCCCAACTCACTACGCTGTGAGTTGTTACTGGCACTAAAAGCCTACTGGCCTTTTGACCCCGAATTCTGGGACTGGAAAACTCTAAAGTATCACTGCTCATCCCTTCTGGGCTTGAGACCAGAGTCAGAGGAAGAAGAGGAAGAAGTGATAGACAAACAAGAGAAGGCCAAACATGAGCTACAGGGAGTTACAGTTAAAGAAGAATCTGAGTACCAGAACAGGATAAATGGAGGACTTGACAATTCTGATTATCARGATAACAAACCATTCCCTAACCACACACAATTCAACGAAGAAAATGGGACAAAAAGACCAAAGTTCTGGTGTCAAATTTGCAAACATTCAATCACAGATGTACAAATCATTCACCACTCCAAAAAACACATCAAGGAGAACAATCACACCTGCCCTGTTTGCCTGGAAAAGTTTAATAGCAGAAAAGACCTCGTTCCTCACATGAGAAAGCACATTCGGAATGAAATTCGTCTCTCTCAGAACGTGAGACAAAACAATGTAGCAAAACAGACAGACGAGGATGATGACATTGAACCTGGCGAGATTCCAGTCGACCCGTCCTTGATGCTGTACTACAAGTGCACACACGATCCRGAGGTGTTGAATCACATTGTGCAGCAAACCAAAACCTTGAACGAGAAACASYCCGACGATGACGAGTATGTGACCTTCGAGTACATCGACAGAAACTTCAAACTGCAGAACCGAGAGGAGTATCCCTGCCCGGGAACCAACTGTACACGGACCTTTAAACATTCCAAGTACCTGTACGTCCACTTGAGATCAGAGCACATTGGTGATGACAATGTGAAACATTTTCATCAAATGAGAGACAAGCGGGAAAAGTGTGTGTTCTGCAGGCGTCATTTCATATCGGCTTACCATTACCGCAAACACCGAAAAGTTCACTACGGTGACTGGCCCTACATATGTGTGGTTATAGGTTGTGGTGCAAAGTTCAAAACATCCAATGAACTTGTCACTCACAAGCAGACCCACGGCTACCATCTGAACTACCAGTGTGAGCTCAACGGCTGCTACGTCACCTACTCTGACTTYGGACAAATATATCACCACGAAGCGCAGCATTTCAGAGATGCAGCATTTACCTGCTGCAGCAGTGAATGTAAAAAATTCTACTTATCCAAAAAGGACTTTATAAGGCATTTATCTACACACAAGATAACTTTTACAGAAGATGATTTTGAGGCTCAGAGGAAGGCAAAGCGGAAACTTTTTAAGCCTGTTCGTGACGTGACCGTTCACCCCGACAAGACGGTTGATTCAAGAGGCACTGTAAATGGAGAAGTCCTGAATTCTCAGTCAGAYGGTTGTACCACCTCTTCACAAGAATCAGACATCACAGAGCCCAAGGCAACGGTTACACTGGTGGCGATGTGCTTTGATGGAAGTAAATTCACATGTGGCTTTGACAAGTGTGGCATGACTTTTTCCAGAGCTAGAGATGTCCAGAGACACCTGAAGTGTGCTCACCCAGATCATCTCAAATTGGAGGACAAGGAATACAAACAAGACAAGGAGCAGGACGACGTGTCAAAGAGTGTAAAGACTGAAACTGAGCCAGAGCCTGAGGAGAAGGAAAAACATAACAACTCAGCTTCAWCTCTACCTGTGGAGCCTGGCAAAGACAAAAAGTTGACTGCTAATTCAAAAAGCAAAGAAGCAAACCTTTTAGGCCTTAACACAAAATGTGACGCCCTAAAAGAGCTCGTTATCGGGCTGAGTAAGCTCAGCTTGAACACCCCATCTCCTAACAGTTTGCCAGTTCAGCCCCCACAGCCCACACATGATTTGATGACCTCACAGCTGTCGCTTCARCAAGCCATCATGGCAAAGCCTCCGGTTGTATTGCTTAAGAAGAGACCACAGCTGTCTGAGGGGAAGGTGAAAGTCCAGGTTGAACAAAKYTTAGTAACCAGTGAAGACAAGGGTATTGAAACATTAGCCTCAGCTAAGCCATATATCTGTAAGCACAAAGGGTGTGGCTTTAGGAGTGGTCAAAGTTACAGCTTAAAGCGCCACTATAACTCTGTCCATTGCTACAGCTTATGTGAGGCCAAAAGATTGATAACCTCTTTTAAGCCTTACAAGTGCCAGTTTTGTCCCAAGACCCACAGAGAAAAGCGTGAGCTGAAGTTGCACTACCTAAACATCCATAACATAAGTAAGACTTTGATACCACAGATGGGCTGTGAAACTACCCAACATGAGGAAAGGAAGAAACCTACATCTTCAACAAAACAAACATCTCAGCCCTTCACCAATCACAGTCCAGAATTTAATAAGAAAAATGTTAAACAGGAACGCCTGCTCGAGCCAAAAAGCTCTAGTGTAATTATTAAAGAACAGAACATTAACACTCAAACTCCATCTGAAGAGGAAAGAGAGGGTGAAGTAGAGAGCAGGGAAGAGGATAATGAGCAGAAAGGACAAACAAAGGATGAGATAACACAAAAGCTCAGAACTAGACGATTGGTGGCCAAAAGTAACCTATGCTATATACTGGATAAATTCAGTAAGCCGTTTCATTGTGTGGCAAAAAACTGTGGTGCGGCTTTTTCCACCCAGGGAGGCCTTGTGCGCCACCTGCAGTTTGTGCATCATTACAATCGTTCTCAGCTCCTGTTAGAAAGTGACTGCAAAGTGCAACAAAATCCAGAAGTCAAAAAGGAACCTGCAAAGAAAAGACCTCCCCCAAAATCTGATGAACCTCAGCCCCAGTTCAAATGCCACTTTGCTAACTGCACCGCCTCATACCACCTTAAAAGCAGCCTTGTGCGTCACACTCGTGATTACCACTCTCGGCCACCTGGGCTAATAAAGTGCAAATTTGACGGCTGCACCGCCTCATACCACTTTAAAAGGAACCTTATGCGTCACACTCGTGATATCCACACTCAACCACCTGGACTAATAAAGTGCAAATTTGACGGCTGCTCCAAGGTGTTCAGTCGCAACGATGCGCTCAAAAAACACACGCTTTATAGCCACTGCGAGTATTACAATTCACTCGTGGTTCGACTGCAGAGCACGCATAAAAAATCTATTTCTGGATGCCAAAAGAAGCTCATAATGACACCACAATGTCGCCAGAAGCAAGAAACTAGTTCGCTGACTTCACCGAAATCAGAGAGCACCAGAGATCAAGAAGCTGTGGCRCAGTTAGAAGAAAAGAGTGACAAAGATCTTAAGGAAACTAAAAGTTCCAAAGAAGAGGACTGGAAAATATATCGTTWTAGTGATTTTGTCTATAGATCTCATGAAGAGGCACTACAGATGTGTCAAGACCGCTGCATGCCTGTTGGCTACCCATGCATGGTTCAGGATTGTGATTCTGTCGTCGTATACATGCGCAGCTTGCAACGTCACTATYTTACGGTGCACGGCATGGTACGGGGAGATGTTGTTAAAAATGACAAAAAGCTTTTTTTTAATGCTGAGCAGCTAGAGGAACTGATTGAAAGGAAATCAGCAAGACCYACTGTTGCAGAGGCATCATCTCCTAAACAAGTTTTCAAAACACAGTGCAAAYCAGAGCCTAAAAATACAAAGGAGGCTCCTTCACCCACTAGTCATGCCTCCATCAAGACTGAAACGCAGGATGTGACTATACACGATCTTCAAAATATCCCAGAGAAACAGGAGAAAAGTCACAATTCTCATGATGTCCTAGAGACAGAAGAGAATGGCCACAGTTCTCCGAAAGTCTCGGAGACAAAAGAGGACAGTCACAATCTTCAGAAAGTCTCAGAGAATGAGAAAAGTCAGGATTCTCAGAATGTTTTGGGGAAGGAAGATGGTCACGATCTTCAAGATGTCCCAAACAAGCAAGAGAAAAGTCCTGATCTTCAAAAAGTCTCAAAGAAGGAAAAGAGAGGTCACAATCATAAGAAAGTCTCAAAGAAGGAAAAGAGAGGTCACAATCATAAGAAAGTCTCAAAGAAGGAAAAGAGAAGTCACAATCATAAGAAAGTCTCAAAGAAAAATGAACATAGTCACAATCTTCAGAAAGTCTCGGAGAATGAGAAAAGTCATGATTCTCAGAGTGTTTTGGAGACGGAAGATGGTCACGATCTTCAAGATATCCCAAACAAGAAAGAGAAAAGTCCTGATCTTCAGAAAGTCTCAAAGAAGGAAAAGAGAAGTCACAATCATAAGAAAGTCTCAAAGAAAAAAGAACATGGTCACAATCTTCAGAAAGTCTCGGAGAATGAGAAAAGTCACGATTCTCAGAACATTTCAGAGAAGGAAGATGGTCACGATCTTCAAGATGTCTCAAAGGAGGAGGAGGAAAGTGACGATCCTCAGAGAAACTCTGAGAAAAACAAAAATAGAATCGAACTCCAGAAAGACTCAGAAAAAATGGAGGATGTTAATGATTCCCAAAAGATTCCGGAAGATGAAGAGAATAATCGCAGTCCTCAGAAAGTCCCCCCAAAAGAGAAAGAATTACCTCCTGCTGAAAGAAACAATGACCTTGTTGCAGAGGAGTTGCTTCCTGTTGAAGCAAGCACAGGTGTTRCTGCTGAGGATTCATCTGCAGCACAGCAGAAACCTCCAAAACAGGGACAGAAATCAAACTTTGAGAAATTCATACCTCTTCTGCGTCCAGTCACTGTTGACCTTTCACCTCCATACTCGCTGCGCTTTATTTCTGAGGAGAGCTTCCAAAACACGTRGAGCGGCAAAGATAATGGCAAGATGTTGAAAGGATCAACCTCGTTGCTCTCTCCTCCGGTTCGCCAGCCGCTGAAYCGAAAAAACGAATTGTCGGAGCAGCCTTTGAATGTAAAAGAAACTCAGCCCAACACTCCTCCGCCATGCCTTTTCGACATCGCTGCCTATAAGCCCATAGGCTTTGAATCCTCTTTCTTAAAGTTCATACAAGAGACGTCTCCAAACGACAAGGAGAAAGCACCGGTGAAGCGGCGAGAAGCCTTCAGACGCAGCTGCTCTGTTAAGGAGAACAACCAGCTAGGGATCTCTCACACCCGCAGTAGACGCACTCATTCCCCCCTGGTGAAGTCTCGCGCTGTGACTGGGGGCTTCACGTCTGTACAAAACTTGAAGTCCATCCTGGACAAAGCCCTGGCCGGGTGTGGGGACCTGGCAATAAAACAGCTCCAGTACCTCAGACCGGTGGTGGTMCTGGGAAGACCTGTGTGCACCACCAGCTTTTCTGACCTCTTATCTGAGACCAACAGTAAACTACTACTTGGAAGTTAAACTGAGCACCTTTTTAAACTTTGCAATGGAAAGTGACTATATCACATGCTATTTACCAGTATTGTTTATTTCTTCCAAACTGTTGGATTTTTTTAACTGAAATTTTGTAGAAATTAGCATAACAAAAAAGGACAACCTCAAAGTACACATCAGAGCTGTCTGACAGTATTTTAGCTTTTGTTTATAAACTCTGTGACTTGATATTCAATATGTTAATTCACAATCACAWATGTATATATTCTCCAGCTCTCCAGAATAAATGTTTAGCTTTGCAGTTTATGAAGGATCAGTAGCATAATGCAAGGCCTTTTTCACTTTGGTGAAAATGTGACAACAAACATTTCTTTTCTTCAAACTCGTTGAGGAATATGTTTGGTTATTTTCCACCTCGATTTATATGGAAACAGTGTTTGGCTTCAGACGTTGGATGGAGGACATGTATGTAACATTTTGTAGAAAAATAAATGTGAAAATCAGGGCATCTAATCACCATTGTAATTGCCTTTTTTATTTTTCCAGATTTTATAAAGCATACCATTGTTTTTTGAGTACATAAGAATCATTGATTTCAGTTTCATCTTTTACACTTTACTGTCTCAGGTTAAAAAAACAAACAAGCAAACAGAAAAAGGCACAAGGCTCTACATACTGCCAAATTTTGTAGTCTGGATTACCAGCCATCCAAAGTGCATTCATTCCTAACAGTCCTGACCCTTTGAATTCTAAATTATCTTGATTGTAACTTTTGTAATAGTGTTGAATTGCTAATTTCCAAAGCCTAATATAAATGTATTAAGAATGCCTAAATGCTTTTTCTCACCATTACTCCCGCATAACAACAACCAGCTATCTAGAGTGGAAAAAAAAGATATTCAAAACAAGAGAAACACATAAACAATGTCCASAAGATATCTGAAACAATGAATTAAATGGTATAAATGGGGACTTAAAGTAGAACAGAAAATAGTTTAATTTGCACTTTAAAGATTTAATGTAACATTATAGACCATCACGGTGAAAGTATGCTTGTATTAGTAATGGAGGTGTATAAATATATAATTTGGGTGTGGTYTCACCTTTGAGGCATACAATTGTAGCGCCCTCTACAGGGTTAAATGTTAAACAAACAAAAGATTTTTCCACTTGTGTTTTATATAATTACATTTTATATAATTAAAACTATATGTGTTTGTTAAAAATGACGATAAAATGCAGATAAAAAAAACGTCATTATTACAATATCAAGTCTGTCAAACATGTTCGAGACCATACCGAAGCCAAGTCCATTGGTTAATGCGCGGAACCCAATTCTTATTTAGTTGTTTCAGGGGGTCGTAGTTGTTCGACACGCTTCCCCGACAGGCTTGCGCGTTGCTCATATGAATGGAATGATATTGGATGTAAAAGCCTTTGACTTGGCAATGAAAACCGTATGCACATAGTTCGGTTTTAGTCAGTTTTTTTCTCGGTTTAGCGCCGGTGCAGTTCTTTCGATAAGTAAAGTGAAAAAGTGTTTGTGTGGGACTTGTGCGGAAGCTTGTGTAGCCGCTATTCGTTAGCCGAGAGTCGGCCTGTTGCTAACGGCTCGAGTCAGAGCTGCTCAGGAAAAACCCAGAGAGAAGATGTTAGGAATGATGTTGGACCTGCCGGTGGAAAAACAGATATTTTATGCTGTTTTGGGATTCTCGTGGACAGTGTATCTATGGGAGGCATACCTGTCCTACAGACAAGTAAGTTAATCATTTGTATGCTGCAGTGGTCAAAACGAACTGAAAGTCTTATAGCAGAATGTCATATTTATTATTTTGGAGCACTTTATTAAAAATGACCACAGGGAAAGACACAGTTAGAAAAGGGTAACTGTTTAAAAAAAACGCCAGTTTGAACATTGGTTTATGTTTTATAGCAAATTAGTATCAAGACTGGGTTTGAGTGAAATTAAATAAAAATGAAATATTGAAACCTAAATAAGATTGTATCAAATGCCATCTTACATTTTGACTAGTACATAACTTGCGTAAATTCATTGTTTAAATAGATTTTTAATACTTTCTGTTAATGTTATAATTAAATGCTTTTAAACATCAGATAGATACCAGTTTAAAAGTGTAAAGTTTTACATCAACTCGTCATATAAACCCCATGTCTTGTATTGTCAGGTATTTGAAACAAACTCAGTGCATTAATCTGCAGTCTGACATTAATAAATAGCTTTAATTTCAGTAAATGTTTAACATCAGCTCATCTTGTAAATGCACAAGGGGTAAATACATTTCAAACAAAATCTATATACATCTTGAGAAATGTGAACTTTATGCAGTATTCTGAACTGCACCGTTTTATAAAGTAATACTGAATCGGTACATTAGGGTTAGTAACACGATTGTGTTTGTTTGATAAAAAAAAAATAAGAATTAACAGGCCGAACAAAGAGTCCAAATCTATTTAAATTATTTGACTACAAAAATATTTTAATATATTTAGTTTTAATGGGTTTTGATACAAGATAAGCTGCAAGATGGACACACTGAAAGGGTTAAGCCATGTAAAAACACAGATTAAACAGGTTAAATTGGCTTTAATTAGCACCATCTGTCAATAAAAAAAAAAGTTGCGAGTATGAATACTACTCTGATACTAATTGTTTCTGAATTCTCAAGCTTTTATCAACTACAGTATCTTAATTTTATAATGTTTCTTAAACCATATTTTAAGATCATTCTTTTAACTTTGCAGAGGAGGATTTACAGATCAACCACACATGTACCAGAGGAGCTCGGCAAGATCATGGATCCCGAAACTTTTGAGAAGTCGCGCCTTTATCAGCTAGATAAAAGCAACTTTAGCTTTTGGTCTGGACTTTATTCTGAGACTGAAGGGACGGTAAGTGTGTTTAAAAAGGTCGGCATCCCCTTTGCTGATTTAACAAAATGCATTGTATCATCTTGGGCTGAACATGATTTTTATAATCAGCTTTATATTGTGTATAATAAAATCTTTCAGCTGATCCTGCTGCTGGGCGGAATCCCTTTTCTGTGGGATGTCGCCGGTTCTGTGACGGTTCGCTTTGGGTTCACTGCAGAATATGAGATCATCCAGTCCTTGGTGTTTCTCACTCTCGCCACTCTGTTCAGCGCTTTAACTGGACTTCCCTGGAGTTTATACAACACGTTTGTGATTGAGGAGAAGCACGGCTTTAACCAGCAGGTACGCTGGCTGAACTTTCACAGACCGCTTAGTTTGAACAGATTTATTTATTTATGTTAATGGCGCACCGAATGTTTGCTGTTCTCAGACGTTGGGGTTCTTCTTCAAAGATGCAGTGAAGAAGTTTGTTGTGACTCAGTGTATCCTGCTGCCTGTGACCTCGCTGCTCCTGTACATCATCAAGATCGGTGGAGACTACTTCTTCATCTACGCTTGGCTTTTTACCCTGGCTGTTTCTCTGGTTCGTGCTGCTTCACACCCCGCTGATAACTTTAAACATCTGTATGGTGCTAGTAATGGATCCTAAAACAACCTGCGTGCTGCTTGTTTTCCATAGGTACTTGTAACCATCTATGCTGATTACATTGCACCCCTATTTGACAAGTTCACCCCATTACCGGAAGGAGAGTTAAAATCTGCGATTGAAGCTATGGCCAAAAGTTTAAGCTTCCCTCTCACCAAGATCTATGTAGTTGAAGGTGAGTTTCTTGTGTTAAAAGTTCATGTTTTTAATATATATTGTTGSTTAAAGAATTTCAGGACTTTAAAAAATGATTTATTTCCAGGTTCCAAGCGATCGTCACACAGCAATGCATACTTCTACGGTTTCTTCAAGAACAAACGCATCGTGCTGTTTGACACTTTGCTGGAAGACTACTCGCCTCTCAACAAACCTGGAGAACCACAGTCTGAGCAGTCAGAGAATGACGAGACATCCAGCGAGTCCAAAGCCAAGCCCAAGGTTGCAAAGCATCTGTTTTTATTTAATTTAAAATGCCCTGTGGCACGTACAAAATGACGCCAAATAGGGTTTAAAACATATCCTGATACGTTTATCAGTGCTTTGCTTAACTTTTTTTTTTACAAACATCTTTTCTCTGTTTAGATTTAGTGTTTGCTCYAAAGGTCAAATGATGAATTTAAAATGTAGTGGTAATGTTTCTGTTATCACAAGACCCACTTCAGTATGTGGGTGTAACAGGTGTGTGTTTGTTTGTGTGTCTGAGAGACTAATCAAGCTGCGCTGATCTTCCAACATTTTATCAGAACAAGAAACAAGGATGCAACAACCCAGAGATCCTTGCTGTTTTGGGTCATGAGCTTGGCCACTGGAAGCTGGGTCATACTGTCAAGAATATTGTCATCAGTCAGGTGATTTTTACCCTTTTTTTTTCAGTCATCTTTGAAACTGTTTAAATGTTCTCTTTGCGTTAAACTGTTAGCCTTATTGCTATAAATACAACAGAATTCAGTTGTTGGTTGATGTGTAATAAKTGGTTATTTTTCATCCCTGCAGATGAATTCCTTCCTGTGTTTCTCCCTCTTTGCTGTTCTGATTGGGCGAAAGGAACTGTTTGTGGCTTTCGGGTTTATTGACAGCCAGCCCACGTTAATAGGCTTGATGATTATCTTCCAGTTCATCTTTTCTCCTTACAATGAGGTGGTTATGAAATTCCTAATGCACTTTCACACTGAATTCATTGGTTCTGAGTTCTTAAAATATTCTCCTCTCTTTGCAGCTTCTGTCTTTCTGTCTGACAGTCCTGAGTCGCAGGTTTGAGTTCCAGGCAGATGCCTTTGCACGCAACATGGGCAAAGCCTCGGAGCTGTGCTCTGCCCTCATCAAGCTCAACAAGGACAACTTGGGCTTCCCTGTTGCAGATTGGGTGTTCTCCATGTGGCACTATTCCCACCCTCCTCTTCTCGAGCGACTCAGGGCGCTGYGCAACGCCAAGCAAGACTGACGGGGCTGGTAGGGGGAGCGGGCGATCGCTGCCTCCTCAGAATGGCCCCCACAGACCCATCCTGGCCCTGGTCTTTTTCTTCCCATCTGTATCTCACCATTTAGTTTTATATCATTTTAGCTTTTTATTTCACTTCCCAAAGTTTTCCATTTTGTCCCGTTGGATTCTTTGTTTTAAACAAAATGAAATCATATTGACACGAAGCAGCCTAAAACAATATACCCTTCACTCTCTTTCTGTAGAAACACAAGTTATGCACTTGTTGTGAGCAATACATCTGGACAATGGTTTTCATTAATTTTATGACATTATTGTCAGAGTACAATTCTGATTATTTTGACTTTATATTGTTTTGGACAGTATTAATAAATCTTATTAATTTAAGTCAAAAGGAAAAAATATATATGTATTCCAAATCTTTTCTAGGCTTTACTAAAGAATAATTTATTGTGCTGCAGACCTGGCATCCGACTGATAGTAAAACTCACAAATGTTATAGATTTAGCATAAAGAATCTATTTCACATGTACTCCTTGTTCAAAATCAAGTCTTTTTTTTTCAGAGGAGCGATGTAGATACTTGGCTACCATGACAAAATACGAGTGCCTCTTAATTCTCTTTTGTTTCTGATAGTGGACACGTTGTGAACAGATGCAGTTAAGAAAGTTTTATTTGAGGTTAAATTACACTTTCGGTTTTTATTTTCTACTCAAAAGTGAGGAAGTGATATTTTATTTTAATTTCCAAAGCATTTGCTCACGTCTAGGGTACAACCAGATGTGTATATATGTAACTTTAGTGATTAGAGTTAGAACATCTGATGTAAATTGTAAAAAAAAAAAACCGAAAGTTGAATGTGATTTGAAATTTTAAGTTGATAAAATGTTGATTTTCTTGTCTTGGATGCATGGTGAGCGAATTATTAATGGGGGAAATGAGAAAGAGGGTTTACAAGTTTTGTTTTGCTTTTTCAGCAGGTGAGCCAGAGTTGGGTTTGTTAAAAGAGGGGATTGTATGTTGTTGGCTTTTTTTTTTCGTTGTTGCATTGAATAAAATTCTGAAAWACATTTATCTTATTCTGTTGACTTTATTAAAATATGAAACTGAATCCATAAGACTTTTTCTAATATGTCTGGGTTGCAGTTTTTATTTTGGTCATGCTGTARGTAATGTTATTTGACACTGTTTTTGTTATTTCAYTGTTTTTCCATATGGTGTCAATTTAAGAAGCATAGCTCAAGGAGATTAATAAATTATTATTCAAGTCTACGGCATAGCTTCTATAAGGCGCTTGTGATTTAAAGCAAATCGTCAAAATTGGGTTTTTGTTTGAAAATAAAATGAAAAATAAATTGTGTGTAACAGGATTTTTGTGATGCAGCAGATTTAAACTGATAATTATTGTTACTAGTAAAACATGATTAGCTTTAGAACAAAAACATGCAGTGAGTATAAATGGACACATTAAGCAGCCACATTTTGTCATAAATAGATCATACATAAATTATTTTTTTAAATGTATACACATGCTCACTCTTAACATGTTAAACAACGCTGACTTGTCAATGAATGAAAACAATCAGACAAAATTCCACGCTCAGCCAATTTATTTGTTAAATTAAAAATAATTRGCGTAAAGACTAATTCGTTACTTTAAACCTTTCAATGGTTATTACYTATCATATTTAATGTTGAAAATGACCGTAAAACATTATTGTGAAATATAAATATTTTGAACTCAAAGCGTAAATAGAACATATGAGGTCAGCAAACGTAAAAAAACAAAGAAAAAAATCTAAGGCCAGTCTATTTTTGGACCGTGCCATTACGGAGGTATATCGCTTTAGTTTCCCCTAAATATTTATTATTATTTTTTCTACAGTATATACACTTATTTAACCAGACTTCTTAAATATATATTAGGACATGCAATTATATATATATATATTTCGTTATTATAATTTGTTTCTGTTTACGGTAAGACCTGTCGCCCCCACGCAGTTCTGATAATGGTACGGTCCTGTGGTGTATTTRAGTGGACAAGGACAAGGCAAGCTACCTTCCGTGTCAGCGTTGTTTTCATATGTGAAAATAGAAAATGGCGAGGTTTTTGAGMCCTAACGTCAGGAGTTTTGTCATTACTCAGCTTAGAATGTCGTCTGACCAGGTAATGAACATTTCGTAAACATTATACTTCACTAAAATGGGACTGTAGACGGTCAGCCATGTCTGCAAGCCATTAGCCGATTAGCTTATGCTCTGTAACAATTTTGCTAGCTTTATTTTTAAATAAAGTCAGAGCCAGTACAGCGAGAGTTTGTATATCCACTGCTGGTATGGTACACAACATAAGKTAGGCTAATTCTGTTGTAATTCATCTGATGTATGACACTTTTATTTTGTAAAACATTTGATCAAATTTTAACCTGATGATGAAGGTGACAGATCAGTAGGTGATCGAYGAAAMCAGCTACATTGTTTTGGATTTCATTTGTTGCCTTTGCAGCTTATAGTGGAGTCTGTCCTCAATACATGTTTGTAAAATTAATGTGTATTTGTTGTGACGTATACTTTGACCTTCAGAGTCTAACTAAATCTACTTTAAACCCGCAAATATTGGTAACTAAAGGATAGAAAGAAAGTTGAAAACTGTGATTTTTAATGACTTTGTCATTTATTTATCTAGATTAATTTATTACATTAATACCATTTCTTTTCAGTTGGGCGAGCTGGGTAAAGGTGCAGGTAAAGGTGGTGGGGGCGGAGGTTCCATCAGAGAGGCAGGTGGAGCCCTGGGGAAGAGGGAAGCTGCTCTGGAGGAGATGTATTTCAAGTATGTAACATATTCTACAAACAAACAAATAATACAGTACCTATTTACCATATTAATGATCTGCTTGTTTATCTGTTTGCACATAAGGCGTAAGGAGCAGGAGCAGCTGGCWGCCCTGAAGCAGCACCACCTGGAGGAAATTGATCACCACAAAAAGGAGATTGAACGCCTCCAGCGTGAGATTGATCGTCACAAGGGAAAGATCAGAAATCTGAAATARGACGACTGAGCAAAAACACTTCAAACAAAATTAATTTTTTGCTTGACTGTCCTGGAAGCATTAAGTTGTAAATGCTGTTGCTGTGTTCATTARTACCAAGCTGTCCACGGATGTGTTTGGGGCTATGTTGTTCTATAAAGGCTTGGAAGTTATTAAAATTGTTGAGTAAAAAAAATTGATGTTTTTTTCGCATGCTGTCACAGAAATTGTATAAAAACATTGCCACACATTGCAAACAAAACAATCCAGTGAAAACATTTAAATATTGTTAAATTAAATGGCATCATTGGCTTTTTGACATATTAGTAAAACATGCAAATGTACATGGCAATTTATGGWACATGCTATTTTGAAGTGCTGAATTCTGCATTTTATAATTTAGTCATATTTTTCATCAACTTATAATTTGTACTTTTTTAWTTTCAGTCCACTCTTTTAATAACAACCAGCATATTAAGACCTTGTTTCCTTAAAACACAAAGATGTTTTGTAAATTATAAATAAAAGTAATCCAAAAATGCTTGATCGGTTTGCAAAAATGGTTTGTTTGTATGTCAAATGTTAACTTTTAATGCCACGGCAATTAAATAACAATTACTATATACAATAACAAAGCAATGCCAAAGTTTCTGCTGTGAATTAGGGGCTTTTTGGCAACAGCTAAGTTGACACCAAACATGTTTTTTTTGCAGAGAAAACTATGGTGCGAGTTTGATATCACTTGTAAACAATTTTATTTCTTGTCTTTGACATATATTGCAACAATAATTAAAAACTTTTAAGGCACCGCAGGCAGTGGCACTGTCAAACATGTCAAACTCATGCATTGTATATTTTTCAATACAGRCAGTGCTCATTCACAGTTGTGATTTGTTAGAATGGCAAAAACATAAATATTAAATATAAAATACTGGTCTTCAGGTAAATAACAAAAATGTCTAACAAGCAAAGCAAACGTCCTGTGTGCATTGTGTCTGTGATCAAATCCATCCACACGTGGCGCTATTCAGAATCCTCCATCAATGCACGAAGAAGAACCGCCTAACGTCACTTCCGGTTACCCGTGCTTTTACCACGAGCAACCCCGTGCGTCTTTCTTTTCGGACATCATGGCGGACCGGTTCCATAGGGTAAGCGGATGCTGCGGAGGGATAAAGTGTATATTTACCCTTTTTTGGATTCACAGTAACCTGTTTATTACAGTATTACGACCCAAGATCGTGTGTGCTTAATAAATGTAGTCGTTGTTTAGTTGGATGTGCTCTGTATGATTGGATTTACGTAAACACAAGTTTGGCAGCTAGCTTTAGCCACTTGAGCATGCCTTCATCATGGCWGCTTCCCGAACGAGCCAGTTCTTTC